CCCCCCCGTCATCCCCGCAAGATCCCCGGCATGTACCGCCTCTACTGGCCTATTCCAACTAGGCGGTAGATCCCATTCACTTAAATCCCCCCCTTTTTTTTTCTCTCCTCCCTTCATCGGCACGAATCGGTAAGCTTCGCGAAGATCACACCATCAATGATGACGTCAACCTACACGCTGATTCGACAGACGACAACGAGCAAGGGTGCATAGCACACGGAGATCAAGTGGATCATGATGGCGTCACCTGGACGATCTCCACGAGGCAGAGGGTTCCATATAACAGGGCTACAGAGATCTTGCCACGGATGTTGTCGCCATCTCATCCGCAACCCAGTTATCGTTTCTTGTACTTCTTTCTGCTTTATTGATACGCTTGGTTCCTCATGCATCACTCTGTTCTCCCCTCTTCCTTTTCGCCATGACATGCAATCAGGAGATCGCATAATTTTGGAACCCCCTCCGCGTCACATATGTGACGAACCACTTCCCGACCCCATGCCATCTTTCGTACCCTTTTTTTTGCTTGTATCATACCAACCCCAGGAAAACCCCATTTTGAGTTCTTGCTTTTGGGTGCCGCATTTTCCTTTTTGAGAGCTTTTTCGACTGCTGAGTTTTGTTTTTCTCCTTGCAAAGTCAGGAAATACATGAGAATTTACGTGCGCCTTAGCGAGCGCACTGGGAATTGGGCTCGGTAGTTGGGAATTCCGGGATAAGCGGAACTTCGACGTGTCCTTTTTGGGTGTGTGAATGTTCTTGGGCGCGCCGGGGAAAACTCTTGGAATTTTGCGTGAATACGAATAGGCGTAGGATTTTCTTTTCCCGCGTCGCTTTTTCGCACGCGGATATGGTGATTTCAATTTTGAATTATGATAGAAGCAAGCTGTAACTGTTTCGGTGCCTTTTTCTTTTTTTTGTTGACGGCGCCGTGCATGCAAAAACTTCCTCCTCTCTGTCCCCCGCATCGTTCCCTCCCACGCCTCCCTTCCCTTCTCCCTCCTTTTTCTCTCTCCCCATAACTGTTTTTCCTTCTCCCTCTCTCTCTCTCCTGCCTTGCTTTCGCGCGCCCATTTCTCTTTCTTGATCATCTGAATCTTGGACCCGTCTTGCGCCACCTCTCGCGCCTTTTCTCTTCTCACCCTCTAAGTCTGGCATACGACGCCCGGTCGATCCCCCGATAACTCCCGCTCGCCAATCAAGTGCGTGGATCGATATGACCTTCCTATCGCGCGACGAATCTGATTGGTTGAACCTTGAGTTCCGAGGGATCAGCATGGCGTTCGTAGAGCACTCTTCTCAAAGTCTTCTCCTCCTGCTTCTCCTCTTACACCTCAACTTTCCTTTCGCCTTCTCCCCCTTCTATCTCCCCTGTCGCAACTATAAAACCCGCAAGCGCGTCCACAAATCTCTCTTACGTTCTTGACTCCTAAGCCAGCTTCCGGGAAGCAGTGGCTAGGCAGAGTGGATTGATGCGAGTCGGAAAGTTCTGTCGGGCTGACAATAGGCTGGCCGATTGTGCGCTTGATCGCCACGACGGAATATGGGATCCAGGCGAGCCGTGTCAAGTTTACGACAGCGGGGTGACGATCGCAGTGGTGGGAGTTAGCATGCGACGACCGGGATCGTCGGTGCGGGTATGAGGTTCGATGATTGGAGTTGAGTGAGTGATTGGCCTGGGGCCATAGTGGAATTAACGGCGAATGCGCCTTTGTTGCGGATTGTTATCCTTGGCGTGAGTGTAAGGCGGCGACGCCGAACTTTTCTCTTTTCGGACCTTTCGTCTTCTATTTTTACTCTCTCTCTCTCTCTCTCTCTCTCTCTCTCTCTCTCTCTCTCTCTTTCTTTCCTCTTGAATGATGATGCGTCTGAATGATTGTCCCGCTCTTGAATGGAAATGAGTTGGCATTCTGTGTGAAAGAACTTCTTCCGGAACTCTTTCATTAGTTTTCTGGGTAATCCTCCTACGCAAGGACCCTGTCTCCTTGTCTTGTGAACGGTGGATGCGTGTGTACAGAGTAATGCGATCCATTTTTTCCTGTGCATGTCTCATTTTCGCACCTTCCACAGTGAATGCATGTATGGAATGTGTGACTCTTTTGTTGATTAGACGATTGTCGTCGGGATTTTGTTCGAGAATGCAAGAGTGTTTAGATYTGTAGCTCTGTTTGCACTGCGCATGCCATCTACCTTATGTTGCACGACATCAGCAGTCGAGCCACGAGGCGGCCCTGAGAAACAAGGCACCCAGGGACCACGTTGTGTTGAACTGATCGGACCTGTAGCCATATGCGTGATCAAGCTGATCTGTGTTTGCTCTCTCTCTCTCTTGTGTCAAAAAGATTGATTGGGGGACGCGCGAATCGCTTTTGTTTTTAATGACGTCTCAGGATATTTTGTGATTGATTGACATGTGGACTGACAAGTACCCTTCGATTGGGCGCCAGCCTCCCGTATCTCCCACCCCAACGCGACCTTTTCCTTACAGTGAGGAAAGGACACGTGTATGTGAGTGGGACATACGAGAAGTCATTGCACAAATCGGCGGGCAGTATTACTTCCCTCCGGCCAACCGCTGTTCTGGGTTCGTAGAAGCCGGGTTTGTTATTATCGATACTCRCTTCCCACCTTACTCGGTATTGTTGTCATTTAACGAGTTGATCGTCATTCCGTGGACGGCAGTAGAACCCCACTGGCCGCGCACTCTGTGCACCGAATGTCAGCGTTTTGAGCGCTACGAGTCCAGGGGTTTCCACTATCGTGTGCGGAGTGAAGACGAGCATAAAGAAAGAGCCACGCGACTGAGACCCTCCATGTCAGACTCGGAACTAACCAGCGAATGACGACGAGACTTGATACGAAAACGGGACACGCGAAGTATGCCCAAGCCTTTCTGTTCTAAACGACGGGCTGTAGCCCGATGGGAGGCATGACAATACTTTTCGGATTGAATTTGGATTTTTCCCTCTCTTCCTGCCTTGCCCGCGCTCGCATTCCGCAACGCGCGAAAACGATCGACTTGCTCCATCGGACCAACACGGGGGATTTCAGTTCCGTCTGTGTCCCCACACTCAATTTTCAAAAATCCTTGGCACACCCCATCTTGTTGTTTTTCTGGGCCTCTTTTCCGCACAGCTAACACTCCGAACGGAAGACAGCACAGGGCGTGAGGTTGCGCGTCACAAGCAGCAGCACTGGAACTTGGCGGTCAGCAGGAGCTCGTTTTATCGAGAACCCGGTAGAAGGTCCAAGGAGGCGCACTTCTGGAGCATGTCGTCGAGGAACTTGTCTTGGTGGAGATGCTGCCATCGAGACTGGGGCGCTGCGGTGAGCAGATTCACACTCCAAGGCATTTGGAGCAGGAGCAGCAACCATGCGTTTTCAAGCCTCCCCAAACCGTCCCCCACCTCCCCATCCAATTTCTTCTCTCTTCTCTCTTTTGCGATCGGCCACTGAATGTGATCTTGGGGGAGGGGGGCGGGGTGGGGGGTTCGGGCGGCAGGGGCAGTTTCACCGCCATCACTCCGCACCAACCCCCCCTCCCCCCCCCAATGCCGACTCTCACAACCCGCCTCCCTCCGCCTCCCCTCACCTCTACACTGCCACACTGCTGTCGAGGAGATTCGCTGCGCCTCATGAGGATTTCGGGGGGAACCATAGAGAAAGCGCCTCCTGAAGATTTCGGCGGGAACCATAGACAAAGCGTGAAGTAAGCGGGTCGTACCGTGTCTTCAAATGCAAGGGTGGGAACACTGGTGGCCACAGTGCTTCTCTAGCATGTGGAGATTGCAACAGACATCCTCCCGGACAACGAAGGCTCTTAGATGAAGGAAGGTCCGCTTCGGTGGCTGACTGCGAAACAGGTGCCCGATGTGCGTGCTGCCTCACGTTTTGGAAACTGCCCCGTCCGGCAACGGCCAAGAAGGAGGTGAGTATGGGGGGGGGTGGCGACGGGCAAGAAGGACGTGAGTATGGCAGGGAGGAGCGGCGATGGGCAAGAAAAACTCGGAGGCGAGTATGGCAGGGGGGGGCGCAAATCAGAGTCGAGCGTTTACGTAGCGCGTCTGTTGCAGTCGACCGAGGCCAAACCCCCTGATGAGTCGGTGAAACCCTGACGAAACGGGTTGTCACGGCACCTCTCTTTGTTGTCCTCTTCTCCCACTTTGCATGGCGTTCGACGGGCCATTCTATGTGACCATTCTATGTGACCATTCTATGTGACCATTCTATGTGACCATTCTATGTGGCAGTGGGCATGATCGTTTTTTCTTACTTTATTTCGCTACTTTTTTTTTTCTTTTTGCCACAATTGTGGTCGGATACAAGCACGGGGACTCGTAGTGTCCTTGGTGTTGTGAGGAATGGAGAAAGGTGAGAAGGGGTTGTAGAGGAAGGACGAAGGTGAAGGAAGAAGAGAGAGAGAGAGAGAGAGAGAGAGAGAGAGAGAGAGAGTAGCTCATGCAAAAAAAAAAAAAAATCTGATCGACGCGTTGATCTGCGGTGGCCAGTTACTGTGCTCCAGTTTGCTGCTCCTGAGCCTCCTGTCATCGCGAAGAGGCCAAACCCCCTGATGAGTCGGTGAAACCCTGACGAAGCGGGTTGTCACGGTACCTCTCTTTGTTGTCCTCTTCTCCCACTTTGCATGGCGTTCGACGGGCCATTCTATGTGACCATTCTATGTGACCATTCTATGTGACCATTCTATGTGACCATTCTATGTGGCAGTGGGCATGATCGTTTTTTCTTACTTTATTTCGCTACTTTTTTTTTTCTTTTTGCCACRATTGTGGTCKKATACAAGCACGGGGACTCGTAGTGTCCTTGGTGTTGTGAGGAATGGAGAACGGTGAGAAGGGGTTGTAGAGGAAGGACGAAGGTGAAGGAAGAAGAGAGAGAGAGAGAGAGAGAGAGAGAGAGAGAGAGAGAGAGAGAGAGAGAGAGAGAGAGAGAGAGAGAGAGAGAGAGTAGCTCGTGCAAAAAAAAAAAAAAAACTGATCGACGCGTTGATCGGCGGCGGCAGGCAATTTACTGTGCTCCAGTTTGCTGCTCCTGAGCCTCCTGTCATCGCGAAGAGGCAATTTCCTTGCTCGGTGCACTGATGCCATGGAGCGTGTAATACGCATTCACACATGACCATGCCATATGGCTTGCTCCAGTGCTCGTTTGCCTTGCCTGTTTATGGACCAGATACATTCCAGTTTCCTTTGCGTTGCCAGCATTTTTGTTTGGATACAGAAAATGTGTGTGGGCGGTGGACGGTAGATGAACGTCATCAATGCCCTTTCCTACATAGCGTTTTGGAATCTGATTTCTTTTTTTATGAAGCGTTCTCGTGCGTTGTTTTTTTTTTTTTTGTTACATATTCTTTTTTGGTGGCGTATACTTACATGTGTATGTGCGAACAAAAGAATGCATCTAAATATCATATAGTATATGTTTGTGACGGTATATATATATATATATCATGGTCATCTCTGTGGGCGTTCCCTGTCAAGCGGATTTGTGCGGAGATGCCGGCGTGAAATGGCTGTTCTGATGGATGCAGTACACCTGTTTTGTGTGTGCAGGTGAGGAGGTATGGGTGATGCTTCGGCCTGCATGCGAATCTCGCTGGTGACGATGGTCGGGTAATCCAGAGGGTGGAAGACGACAGTGTGAACTTGCAGGTCCGTTTCCAAGAATCTGTATTGTTTGGCGGCAAGAGGTACCAGGGAGGCTGAGGAGCAGGATTCGATCAGTAGGCAAGCAACATAGATAGGGTGCAAGCCAGCGTAGGCAGGGTGGAGGAGGATACAGTCTCATCTGAATCATTTGAAGAGAAGGAGGGAGTTGAAGGAGGATCACGCCTATTTTTGTTGTGCTTTTACGATTATTGTTGTTAGTATATTCTTATTGTAGTTCGTATTCACCCGCTTCTGCATTTTGTTCTGGTTCGGTTCTCATTCAATGTCGGCCAACGGGCGGACCACCATGGATCTGTTTGGGGCGGAGCGTGAGGGAGCTGCAGGCGACAACTCACAAACTGGTCGTGATCCAACATTGAACCGTTCCCTCACATTCAACCTGGCGGACGATCTACCGTCCAGCTGGGTTCGGAATCCGTAGTGGATTGATGGTATGCCAGCTCAACGAGTTCCGGTGGCAGGTGGCTCTGCTCACATCAGTGACAGCAGGGCTTCCATCCACCCCCCTAGCATGAGCAGCGACACCTTATCCGTGCCGCAGTGGCTCGTTAGTGATAGTGGGGACCATGGGGATGAACCGTTTTGGGACGGTATTGAGGGCCGGTTACTAGTGAGTTTGCAGGGAGGGACAATCCCACCTTATGTGGCCAATGCCATGGCTCGGTGTGTTGCATAGCGTTCTGTTCACGGGGTGACACCGGCATCTGGCCCTTTTGTGGGTGCGTGTGGTGGGTTGTCCGAGCAGCACTGGTCGCAGCCCGATATGTCGTGGATGCAAGCAGCCACGTGTGGTAGTGGGCAACAACCAAGCCACGTTGCAATGGAGGACGGCCGGTCAAACAGGGATCCTGCATGGACTGAATATGATGGGAGTGGGCCTCACTCACACGTCCGAATGGAAGGGGCTGCCAATGTCAGTGACTGTCATCGGCCTTCTCCACGAATGTCACTGCCTGTGCCGGATGGGCTTGGGTCACCAGCCCCGTTGGTGCACCGACTTGCAGCCTCGTTGGTGCACCAACCACCAGCCCCACCGGCACACCAACCAACTGTGGCCAACGCTTCCCACGCAATGGGGTCAGGTGCAACTGCAGGTGTGGAAGGTGCACACCGTGACGCACCGAAGGTGATAGGAGGGAATGCGAAAGGGCATCCTCGCGGCAGTGTGAGACAAGCTCGCAGTTCCCCCGGAGGCGTGCAGTCATCGTCCCCGACTGCGGCAGATGTCAATGACAATGGCACGGGAGACGGGGTTACTCTTGACGGGACGCAGGCCCCGGCGTCTTTTGGTAAGGAGGACATGAAATGTTGGACGGAGGAAGAGTCCCTTGCGCTGATTCATGTGAAACGTGAGTATGACAATGAGCAGGAGTTGCGATCCAACCGCGTAACCGAACGTTGCGTGAAAGCAGAGGTGCATTGGGGTCGTGTGGCGGACCGTCTTCGCACCGAGAGCGGAGTGGAGAAAGACTGGGATAAGTGTAAGAAAAAGTGAGAGAACATGATGTCACAGTACCGAGCTGTTAGGAGTTTCCAGAACAGATCCGGTGACGAGGATTACTTCGCGCTGCTCCCCAAGCAGAGGAAAGAGAAGAACGTGGACTTTGTTCTGAAATGGCCATGCTATGATTTGTTGCACGAGTTCTATCAATTCGACAGGACGGTCATTGGTGCGAATGCGACAGACACGGGTGTCCCATTTGTACCACCTGTTGATGCGGTGGAGGACTCAGGCGACACTGCGAGGGCGGGTGGCTTCAATCGTCGGAAAAGTGTTCAAGAAAAAAACATGTCGGAGGTGGCGGACATTGTCAAGTGTCATACCCATGCGACGATCGATGTTATCAAGCAGGTCGTCGACGCACAGGGAGCGTCTAGCAGCACCCTCAAGGAAGTTGTAAACTCCATAAACGATTGCGCGCGCGAGAATAGTAAGACGTTGTCCGGCGCACTGTCCGACTTTGCAAGAGCTTTCCGTGAGCCCCCTCCGACGACTGCCAATGCGGGTTCAACGTCCCGAACACGTGATCCATCTAAATATCGTGGTGGTCGGTGAAGATTCGTACGTCCTGTCTGTGGATGGGGCGCATGACTTCCTTTCTTTCAGTTTAATGCTTAAACCAGCATGCTCGCCCAAACCAATGGGCCGCATCACATTCGTTTAACCCCCTCTCCCGCCCCCCCTATCTAATGGTTAATAACGCACGATTGCAGCTGCGTGCGGCTGCGTTGTTATGAACGAATAGGTGAATAGCATGTGTTTCCTGCACTTATCCTCACAAACTATTCTCGACCACATATAAATTTGATGGATCTCCTGGGTGAAACATAATACAAATTATATTTTGCAATTTTGGGTTTTGTTATTTATGTCTTTGTGGTCAATAGTTCTTCAAGTCTGGGTTTGTGCGGTTCTATTTTAATTTTTGTGCATTCGTACCAGTTTCCTTTGGGTCTTTGTTCCGCTCCGCTTTTATAAAGTCCGGTTGGATTATCATTTGTCTCATGCACCCCACAAAAATACCCATTGAAACATGACCTTTCGCGTAGTCTGAACTCACGGAGGATAAGATCACATGTGCGGAATGGGAGAGATCCAGTTGTTGATTAATTACCCCATAACTGGAATTAACTGTGCATAATATTTGGTGTCTCGTTTCCCAAAATTTTGTGGAGGTTGGAGTCAGACCACACTCTCAGCATGAGAGTCATAATCTGTCAACCCTCAACCCTGGCGCAGATAGCTGACATGTCTGAGTTTTCATGTGTTCCCTTGTGGCAATCTGCGGTAATGGATCTTCGTTATCAATGACCGGAAACAAAGAAGTCTGGCACGTACTTCCAATGGGCCCTATGCCCGTCCCCCTCGTCCCCCTTCCCCCCTTCCCCCCTTCCCCCCCCCCCGTCTTCTCCAAGTGTTGATGTTGAACTTGTATTTTTTTTTTTAATATTTTGCACTCCTGGTGTGTGCCGCTGTTGTGGGGGTGCTATTCATTCTCCAAGTGCTGATGTTGAACTTGTATTTTTTTTTTTAATATTTTGCACCCCTGGTGTGTGCCGCTGTTGTGTTCTCCAAGTGCTGATGTTGAACATGTATTTTTTTTTTTAATATTTTGCACTCCTGGTGTGTACCGCTCTTGTGGTGGTGCTATTCATTGAGTCGGCATGGGTTTATTAACATTTGGGTGTGCCAGGAAGGAAGCAAGGAGACAACTACCATGAACAGTATGGCTAAGCCCCCATTCCTTTTTTTTTCCTTTGAATTTTTTTTTTAATGGCTGAAACAGAGTGAAAAATGTGTTTCACAATTAGAGACAACCTGATATCACACTCTCTGGCTAAAACACAACTGCTGTTCAGAGTGCAGCAGTGATGTGAAGATGCATTTGCAGTCTGTACGGGGGAAAACCATCACAACAGCACACACACTGCCTTCAAGTCAACCGCTGCTCAGGGTGCAGAACTGAGACTGTCCAAAACCCAAACAGGTCTGTTCACCATAAATTGGCAGATGGCATAAAAAACATTGCGAGGAACCATCACTATAGCACTGCAAGTCGGCACATAGCATCGCACAAATCGGAACTAGACGATCCCAAATGCACACACTCTGGCGGCAACGCGATCGGTGGTCAGGGAGAGGAGTCATGTGATGAAACTTGAAACAAAAACATGGATCGCACTACAAACCAAGGTTGGAGACTCCACAACGAGCTATGTGAAACCACGCATTCATTGAACGCGGGTTTTCTGTTCAGAAACTGAACGGAATTTACGCGCGTTCAATGAACGGGACCGAACGCGGAGTTCAATTCCGCGCGGGGAAAAGTTTAATTCCTAGCGGGGAAAAAAAAAAAAAACCTCAAAAAATTCTGAAAACAAAATATGTTATGAAGAAAAATAAAATAAACAACATTTGCCCGAGCATTACATCTAAATTCGTTACCAAATTGGAAAAAAAAATATAAAACAGAAAATAGAAAAAAAGTAAAAAAATGATTGAAATCAGTGAGCGAACACGATTTGACACCGCCATCTTTGGCGATTTTTCATTTTTTTTTGCCTTACCAATATGACTCTAAAAATGAGAGGCATGTACCTCACATCATACAAAACTCATTAAAAAAAAAAAATCAAAAAAATAAGGTTATTTTTAGGCATCGAAATTATTTTTAAAATAAAAATAAAAAAATAAAAATAAATAATTGAACGACGTTCAATTTTGAACGCGAATTTAAATCCGCATTCAAGCGCACATTTGAACGCGAGCGCGCGTTCACGGCGTTCAAACGGTTACACGGAATGAGCTTCCTCTCCCCTTGCCACATTCACCACCTCCCTCAATCTCTCCATTCCTATTGCATCATATTCCCCAAAAAGAACAAAGCAATAAGACACAAGTTCCCAAACTCCCTCTTCAAGGCTTTTTCATTTTGTTGTGTTATGTTTTTTCCCAAGGGGGGGGGGGGGGGGGGGGGGGGGGGGGGGGGGGGGCAGGGTGTAGTAAACATCGCGCATCAACAACCAAACGCTTTGTCTTCAGGATGGAGATCATGTGTGAGGACAAGACGCTGGGAATCTACAAACCCCATTAAATTGCAACTCGACAGATGGAGATTGGGAGGAGATCGGGAGAAGGACAAGACACAAGGGAGTGAAGAAGAAGTATGGAACCACCGTCAGTGTTCTATGAATAATCAAAACAACAATGAATTGCTTAGAAATAAGAATCAAATGTCTGATTGTTCGTCCTCAAATCACAGCCAACTACATAAACACCCCTCCTTTTACCTCTCTCTCTCTCACTCTTTCTTTGTTTCTCTCTCTCTCTCTCTCTCTCTCTCTCTCTCTCTCCACAAACGCAAAGAAAAAAATTGAAAAAAAAAAAAAGAGAAAAAGGTCAACGTCATCTAATGCACACGATTCCGCTGCTGAGCATCTCGAGCACGGGCACCAATTCTATCGCACGGCGCATCGCGTAAACGTCGCCCAACTGCCCTGGCGCCCTGGGCTGTTAAATCCTCCGGTAGAGGAGGTTAGGGAGCATCAACTTCGTCTTCACTCTTGTCATCGTCACGTCGTGGATTGAGTGCAGGGTCCATCACCACGCCCGCATTGATGAGGAGGTTGTGAATAATGCAAACTGCTCGGAACTGTAGCGCCAAGGATGCTATGTGCGGCTTCTGCATACGCAAAAACAATCGTCACATGCCTTTAAGACGGCCGAATGCACGCTCAACACACCCCCTGGATGTTTTTTGGGCGTCGTTGAACAATGCTGCATCACTTCCTTCAACTTGCGGGCCGATGTAAGGCACCACCAGCCATGGGAGGGACGGGTATCCATCGTCTCCAAGCAGGTATCCGCGGGTTTCCACCCCGCCAGGCAAGGCAAGCGAGTGTGAACTGAAGAGGGTGCCTTCCTCGGCTCTCTGCCATAATGAAGAATTCAACAACACCCTCGCATCATGCACACTGCCAGGCCAACCCACATAAACATCGTATATACGTCAATCTGCACCAACCACGACCTGCGACACAATGGAGAACCGTTTGTGGCGGTCGCAGCATGGACGGGCCGGCTCCCCCGCAGGCTTGTCTATGAACAGATGAGTGCAACTAATAGCCCCATAACACCGCGGAAACCCCTTGTGCTCGAACTTTGCCATTGCCTCTACAATCCGTTGTCCGGTCGGAAAGGACAACTCCCTCGGGTACGCCTGCAGAATTGCTACGGTTACATCACGTACAGCAATGTGACCTGTCTCTCGACCGATCTCGAAAGAAGTAGCAGAGTGTTCGTAGCTCTCTCTTATCGCCCACCTATACAGAGCATAGGCTAGAAGCTGATCCGGCGGCACAGGCGACCGGTACCGCGTGTGTTGGCGCTCCAAGAAAGGCTCCACCACTGCAACAATACTTCGGAACTCGTCCTCCCCCGTGCGGATGTTGTCAAAGTAATAGTCGTCAGCGGCGTTATCGGCTCGTGTCATATTTGCCCAAGCCCCCCTTGCCCTGGGCCTCACCCACCATCGCCGCGGAGTGGGTAGAATGGCGCACAACACCACCACCACCAGAGTGGCGAGAGCAGAGGAGTCAAGGATCTGGACAAGCTCCAATATCAAGTTGTTGATGTTCTGAATCCACTCGTGAAGGATTAGTGTGAACTGCTGCATGAGGACATCCACTTCCTGTTGATGTTGCATCATTGCAATAGCCACTGCTGCTGCCACTGCGGAACAACGACGACGCCATGCAGCTTCGTCCGTGTCTCTTCTGCGGCTATCCATGGCACTCCTGGATCAACAGAAAGTGATACTGAAATCGGAGAAAGGGATGGAATGAGCATCTAATCGGAGAAAGGGATGGAATGAGCACAGGGAGGTAGAAGAGAAGACTTCGCTGCAGGGGTGTAGCAGTGATAAGTCCACGCTTGAAAGGAGCCAATCATGGTCGCTGCCTCACGATCCTTCAGCCATCATGGCAGGAGGCGTAGAGTTGGCCGTCATTGTAAGGGTTTTTGTACCCGATCAGGATGAATTATAACAATGCCCGAGTAAAAAAAAAAAAAAAAAAAAAAAAAAAAAAAAAAAAAAACACGACCTTTTCATATATCCCCAATAACCATTCTCTCACAAGCTGCGACAGAAGTTCGAATCTACACGCTGAGCAGACAAAGGTGAGTGACAGCTGCCCAGCGAAGTGGTAACGTCTCTCTCTCTCTCTCTCTCTCTCTCTCTCTCTCTCTCTCTCTCTCTCTCTCTCTCTCTCTCTCTCTCTCTCTCT